TCAACATGTCGCTAGTGGTATGTTATAGCATATTGAGATTTTGCATTATCACGATTATTCTAAGTACCATATTGGGATTGTTTTTTGTTATTATAGCATATTGGAATTTTGTATTAGTAGGGAGGAAATTAGAGCAACTGATCACAAGAAGCCCACCCAAGCCCTAAAACCCTAAACCCTCAGAACCCCGAACTCAACTGGCCCAAGCCCTGAACTCCTAACAGCCCCAAACTGGACCCCAGAACTATGTAGGATACTAGCCTTTTTGTGCCTACTTTTTGGACCGAAACTAAGATGTCTGAGGTAACGCGGCAGCGAAGCGCCCATATCTGCTAATAAGAATTATAGTAAGAATACAACTTGCAATATTTTTGGAATTGGTTGAATACGAGTAGTAATACTAATAACAGTCTTAATAATAACAATAGTAATTATGCTATTTCAAATCAGTAGCCCAGTACCCTAAACCCTAAAGCTTGAACCCCCAACCCCAAAGTTTGTTAAGGCCTGGCCTACACAGCTTGGCCTGAAACGCTGGCACCTTTTGGCTGATAGCTTATATGAAGCCTCAGAGAGGTGCCGTCGCCGACGAGCTCTAGGCTCCTAGACCCTTAAAGGGATCCAAAAGGTGAATCCCCTATAAGACCCATAGTAATCCCCGGGTATCATAATATCACCCCCAACTACTGCTAGAGGAGCTAATTTTGAGATCCTTTTGGGGGTCTAGGCTCCTAGGCGCCATGGGAAACACCAGCACATGCTGCCAGAGCAGCCTTGTCGGATGCTCAGTTTCGTGGAGTGGCGTTTCAGCCTCAGTCAATATGAGCTACATTCCGAACTTCTTACAGTCGGGTTATAGGGGGGATTGTGTAGGATTCCCAGTCTGGGGCCCATTTAGGGGTACCATAGTTCCGACTATGGCTCATATTGGCCGGTGATTCTTCCCAAGAACATGCGTGCCTAACGTCCGAGGGCGAGGTGAAGCCCGAAGTCACTGTGGCTGCCCATGCGACCAACGATGCCCAGGACAACGCCGGTCCAAAGCCTGAGGCCCAAAGCCAATACACGCTTTAGGTCTTACAGGGGTTGTCTTGAACAGCAACCTTTATAAAGCAACTAAAGCAGCCCAATTTGGAAAAGGGCCCCCATCTTAAACCAAGCTTATTGGTGTTTAGGGCTCTAGCCCACCGGGTGGATGGTTAGTGCTCTGGAATGTTCACGCTTCAACGATGCGAGCTTGTGAGTCCCGGCCCCTCTATCCGGCCACGCATACAGGTGCCCGACATGGTTGAGACAGGCTCCGTGGAAACAGGCCGGGCGTTCAACATATTTAGCTCCAGTTCAGAATTCTTGCAATCCTTCGCACAACAGCCCGAAGGTCAGGCTAATGTTCCGATATGTGGTAGTTTCCAAGAATTGGGCCCCCAAAGATGAACCCCAATATATCCCAATATAGTATACTCCCTATTATAGGAACCTCAAAATCGGACCCCCTAATTTCGGAAACCCGCATAGTCTAAACACCTTAAAGTTGTGTTTTCTAGTGTGTTTTTATGGGGGACTATTCTAGGGCTTATTAAGGAGGATATTAGGAGTTTAGACCTAGAGTTCATATGTTCTCCCCGCTCCTACCGCGTATTTCCTAACCGAGAAGCCTTCGGCTTGTCAAGGATGTGGCAGAGTCCAGGTGAGCGAGGAGAAAAAGGCCGTTGTGGTGGAGGTGCCGCGGGGTTTGGGTTTAGGGTTGAGAAAGTCCCCTTTCTGTGCAGGGCTATATAGCCAGGGTGAACAAATCGTGTTTGCATAGCCTAAGTAGTGAGCATGTAGGTAGATGGCAGTGCAGTTGCAACTGACAGTTTCTGGCCACCCATTCAGAAATCATCCAAGTTGTCACAACTCCGCCAAGGGCTTATACAAGGATTATGTAGCGTTCCTGTTAGAGATATGATGGGTTTAGATTGGGTCTTCCCCCTTTACAGCAACTGGCCGTAAAGGAGCTTTAAATTTCTATTCAGGGGCCATTATGACTACTAATATTTCTTGTGGTAACAGCTACTGTGAAGAGGTATGACCCAAGACTTTAGCTAAAGTGAACCTGCGCGCCTTGGGCTCCTCGGGAGACCCCCGGGGTTAGCTTGGTTAAGGGTCCAAGTGCATGAAGAAGATAAACTTTTGGCCCAAAATGGCTTCCAATATATTTGGGGAGTCATTGTATACTGCTTGGGTTTTTGGACTCCTCAGGTTTGGTTCAGGCTCCGACGCTGGGTTTGCTCTGGGTGGACGTTTCCAAAACCCAAAACCTTTCACCCCTAAACCCTAAGCCTCACACGATAAACCCTAAACCCTAAAGCATAACCTTAAACCGTAACGCCGCATGGAAGGAGACGAGCAAGGATCCGCCCGAGAAGGTCGTCTTCGCTGCTGGTGCAGATGAGCCCCCGACTGAATTAGGGCTGTGGAGGGGTTATAGAGATTCTACTGGGAACTTAATAAGGGATACGTAGTGATGTCCATAAGGGTTTAGGGTTTAGGGCAATGAACCCCTGATGAAATTAGGGTCATACAGAGGGAGGTTACAGAAGGACTATTATAATGGGATCCTAATCAGGGGATTTGTATGGGTGGGCGTCAAAGTCAGATATCCACGTTGGGTCCCGAAATTCTCGGTGTCGTATTAGGAAAAAGACAAAAAACTAGGGTTCCTCATGAAGGACCATATCTTTGACCCATGTAGGGATGTCAAGGTAAATCGTTTAGTCTAGGGTTCAGATGATGACCTAGCACCTCTCAACATTTGATCTCCTGATTAAACCAAGGTTAGGATCCCCTCCCCTATTGTGAGCTCCCACCACCCCATAATATTAGATATTCCTTATCGTACCAGTTATAGTACCACTTATATTCTCCGGGAATATTGAAATATTAGGGGCAGGTGGGAAGGGCTAACAGTTGGGGGTGATTTAAAAGACGGTTCTATGGGTAGGGATTATATGAGTAAATCAGATGGGATCCCGATAAGGGATTATGCTATACGGGCATCCTTTTGGGGATTCGACCACTTAGTCAGGGGCTGATTTAAATCGAAACCGGATGTTTCGGGGTGTGATGAGCATGGAAGAGGCATTTCGAGCCAAGGCGGCTTACATCCTAAACCCTAACCCTAAACGCCAAGCCCTAAGCTCGAAAGCATAGCCCCTCTAGACCCAAGACCCAAAACTTTGAGCCATAAACCCTAAAGCCAAGCCCAGGCGGACCAAAGTCCGGATGCCTCGCGCTCGTACTACCCAGCTGAGCTGACCATCACCTTGAAAGAGATTTTTGCTGGACGAATGGCTCCAAAGTTCTGGGGCAATGTGCTTTCTAGGCGGCAGTTCGGAATACTTCTTGGGGGTGTTTGAGGCTTAGGGCTTTGGGTTAGGGTTTCAGTTCTAGGTGACAGCTTGGGACATAATTTTGTAGGGTTTTGGGCTTTGGGTTGAAGGAAGAGTCTAAGTAGTGGGCCTGAAACTGCCTCCGAGGCTTTGCATTATCCTCCTTGGTGGCTCCTACAGAGCTGCGCTCTGGAGTGGCTGGCCAGTAGCTGCCGCGGTAGCACCTGGGTGAGCACCTGTACATGAGCTGTCGTCTAAACTGCTGAAAGGGAGTTAGTAAGGGAAGAATATATAGGGGTGCCAGTATGGGGCGTATTAAAGGGGGAGACTACGAGTTTAGGCTATAGCTCATATGAGCCACATGAGCTAGATCGGGTTTTTTAGGGTTTCAGGTAATGAGCCCCTGACCAAATCAGGGGTATGTAGGGGTTAGTGAGGATTATAGTCGGACCTTCATATGGGACTATGCAGTCTTTTGGGGCTAGCCATGATTTTATCCAGGGGCTCAAATGGAGACTCAAGAACAGCAGCCCTTTACCTGGGTAACTGGGCTGCCCCGGATTGCGAATGGTACCCTCAACTGGTAACTGCCTTCACGGAAAGTAGCATGGAGACCCAACAAAGGCCCTACAAAGGCTACAGTCCCCTTCAAAGGGCGGTATGGGTTTCCATGTTAGTTTGGAAGGGGTTGTAATCATAGATATTCTTGAGGACCCTTTATCTACAGGGTAACACCTAAATCCTAAACCCCAAACCTTAAATCCAAAATCTTAAACCCGAAGCCCCAAGCCCTAAATCCTAAACCCTAAACCCCAGCCCTATACTAAATCCAAAATGCTAAGCCCTACCAACATCCCAAGCTAGGCCATCGCAAGCACGCTTTCTTTGGGGACGTGGCAGGTGGTCTGGCAGTTGGCCGGCTTGGGAATTCTGGATCAATGTTGGGCCTGTGTAGGGTTGTATGAGCTGTTGTCTATCTTCCTCAAAGGTGGCTTCATAGAAGTTTAAATATACAGGGGCATTAAGGTAGGATACTAGGAGTCTAGGCAATAGCTCATATGAGCTAAATCAGGGTTATATAGCGGTTGGGGTTTTAGAGTGTATGGTTTAGGGCAATGAGCGCTTGATTAAATCAGGGTTGTTTATAGGGGTTATATAAGGACTCATACCAGATGATACGAGGCTATAGTGGCCAGAGATGTCCACAGGGCCGGCTAGATAATTTCGTCCCGGCTCATAATATAGGGATGTCTAGGGCCATATCTACGTCTCAGGGATATTCCAGCTGTATAGGTCTTAGGCATGCTTCATACTTCAAATAGTGTTTGTTGCGCCATCGCTTTCCCTCTATTTGGAGGTTCTCAGTGTCGACCTACTTGTTGCCCGATATCTTATAATCGGTAGTCGCCCATGATAAGGACCTCCAGAAAAAGACACCGACTTTTTTTTTGTGAGACCCCGATATCTGCAAAATGATTCTTTTTCCTTCCCGGAGACAGGAGTTGTTTTGAAACTAGCTTTTAAACTGTTATTCTCCCATAGTCCCCGTAATAACCTTTACCAAGCAATGAGAAGCTCAGATTTTAACAGTGCCCCCAAAGCAGCCCTAGGAGAAATATGGACTGAGGAATGGGTGGTGTGCCTACATGGGTGATGCTGAGCCATTTTTGGAAGAGCTGGTTAGCTTCAGGTTTAGGATCCCAGTAGGCTCCCTACATTATCATCTTCTGTGCCGGAAGTATGTTTTTTGCTAGGTTTGAGGGTCTCCGTGCCGAACCACAGTAGTTCATTTGAGACCAAATAGTTCCCATATAGATATTGCTTGGGGCCTCATCGTCTTCTCTTTAGGATATTCGGACCCTTGGGGTACTGTAGGAGCCTAGATTTGTAACATTATCTCTTTCTTTTCCCTATATTATGACCATAGTAGAAGGTGCCCCCAAACCCTAGTTAAGATACTTCGGTCTGGTAATCTCCAGCTCTGGCAAAGGATGCTTTTCGAGCTGTCCTTGCACTGGCTGCTGTTTGCTGCGGAGAAGTATTTCCTAGGTCCTTTCCAATCACGGTCGAACTTGGTTGCAACATTCGCGCTACCGCTGATGTATCTTCCGTTCAAGGGAAGAAGGGTGTTCGGCATAGGTGCAGGCATTGTGGTGCGCGTTATGGGAGCTCTGAGTCTGTTCCTGGGTAGCTACCTGGTGGCGTGGAGAGGCTTGATTCAAGCAGAGGCGATCCAAGACATATTCTACCCGGTCGTTGCATTCATGTACAAGACCCTGGCAAATCCGATTGTTAAGCTTACTTGGCAGCACCGCAGAGTCAAGTTAATAGTTGCAGTCATAGTAACATTAACGGTTAGAGTAATAGTAATAGGGAGAGCAATAGATATAGGAATGGCAATAGTAATTAGTAATAGTGGTAAGAGTACAAGTAATTTTCATAGTAATTGTACTGCTAAAATTGCCATTATCCACATTGTGGAGTGGCAAGCTTAGGAGTCAAGGCTGATGTGAGCCGCTGACCGATTATATCGGGGTTCTATAACGAAAAGAAAAAGATCCTTCGGAGGGATTGCATAGGGGGTTCTTTTCGGGATAGTAAGAGTTTAAGCAGGGGCTCATGTATGAGCAGCTTGCTTCACTAGCATGAAAGAGCCAAAAGGGTGGGAGTTCGAGCATTCAGGTATTTCCCGGGGCGCGGCGACTGCTCGGCTCTGTGGTTGACGTCGGCGACCTCGACTGTGGCGGTCTCGTCGGAAGGCCTTGGACTCATCAAACGCGAAATGAACACAAACTCACCAAGCCAAAGCATCAAGCCACAAAGCGTACACTCTACATCCCAAACTGTGAACCCAATTTACATTCCCTTAGCTTCAAACCCGCACCCTTCTTTTTGACTCGGGCAGGCTTTTATTACACCGGGTTGGTGCTCATGCTCGCTATCAGTCAGGGTACCGACTACGAGGTGGTTCGCCGCGGAGCAGTGTCCGTAGCTACGCACGTTTCTCGGATTTAGGGTTTGTAGAGGGGTTATACCAAGCTTACATATGCAGTTTCAGGGCTCGGGGTTTAGAGGGCTTATACCCGCTCATAGTACCTCTGAATTCTTGGTGGTTCTTGGATTCGAGTTATTCGGCCAATTACACGATCGTTTACGTTTGCGGTGCCTTCCCGTGAGGTGCGTCTTTTGCTCGGTCGTTAATGTTTGGTGTTGTCAAGTGTTTGCAACAGCTGAGGCTGCTTTTGCCATTTTGGGACGATTCAATGTGCCCGGTACATGCTGGCTGTTGGTTCGGCGCTTGGTTTCTCGTCGACTTGGTTGGGATGTACCCGAAATTCGCGAGTGCGATTCTCACAGGGATCTACTCCTCCGCACATCTTCGACAGCGACGGTTTCTGGGTGGTTCAATAGTAAACTTTGTTCTTTGCATTTTGGGTTCTTATTATATTACAACTAACCCCCAAAAAGGTATATACCCGTTTCTTAGGGGTTATCGAACGCTTAGGTTTTTTAAATTCTAAACCCTATGAACCCTCAAAGCCCTATAGCCTCTGTATATAAGCCCCATGGAAACCAAGAACCCCGGACCCTAAACAGCCGAGGTTTTGTCTTGGGCTATCATGTTCTTGGCATGTCTCCTCTACATGCTTGCCTCCCTATCGGCACACCTCACCTTCGGCTGTGCGAGGGCGAGCCCGACCTGCCGTTACCTACTGGTATCTACTGGTGCTTTAGGGGTCTGAGGGAGTGAATATTGCTATCCTTATACGGGATTCTATAGAGATGAAAGAGGGGTTATATGTATACAGGTGGTATATTTGGATTGTATAGGGCGTCTTATTTGGATTCACTCCCCCACTCCCTTAAGCACCAGCAAGGTTACCTTTTCAAGGCGCCCACCTACGTCGTGGGCTTCCTTGCAGGTTTCGGGAGGGTATGGAAGGGTTGAGGCTTTAGAAGTGTAGGATCGAGGGGTTTAATCCCAAACCCTCCCAAACCCTTGTCACGGCCTTATGGTTTAGGGATGTTAGGCTTGCCTGAAGGTTTCGGAATGATCCTGACAGAGGTGGTGGTCGCCTTGGGGATGCGCTGGCTACGGCAACAAAAAGGGAACGATGAAGGAGGGTGGACGCCCCTCGCGATAGGTGTCTAGGGTTCCAAACTGCATGAAGGTTGAGGGTTGAGGGCTACGGTCTAGCGTCTCAGTTTAGAATTTAGGGTTTAGTGCTGAGGTTGTTTCCAAAAGTGAGGGTCCACCTGTATACCTTCCAATACAGTTTGATCCCTCTCCCCTTTCGTATATTGTTGGAGATCCCCACGTAAATAGGTATCTAAGGTCCCAAACTTGTACCCTCAAGGCCTCTGACATAATTGTTCCTGGCATGGCGGCCCTCTACTCCCTACTGGTTCTTTGAAATTGTCTCACCCCAAACCATTACGCCCTGAGCTTTAATAGAAATCCTAAAGTCTAAACAGCAAGCCCTAAACTCTTAAACCCGAAGCCCCCAAGCGCTGAACCCAAAGGTAAAGCCGTGAATCAGCTGTCCCTACCGGGCAAAAACTGCCAGCCTTGCGCCACCGCACCGGCAGGATCTAGGGATCCTGAAATGTGCCCCTACCTCTTACCAAAACCTACCTTCTTTCCAGGGTCCCTATGAAGCGGCTTCTACTACGGTTCATGATAGGACCCTACAAAAACTAGGTTCTGGTAGGTTAAGGTAAGGCTGTACCGTTTCAGGGTTTAGGTGTACCCCTCAAGAGTATGGCCCTCCTCTTCCCTCATGGGTTCTTTAAACTGGTCTGCAAAGAGTCCCCCAAAACCCAAGAGTACAACCTTAAGGGCACAAGGTGGGACCCCAAAACCCTAACCCTAAAACCCTCAATCCTAAACTCTAAAGCCCTCCAACCTGAAAGCCATGAAACCCTGAACCCTGCCAGGAAAGATCCCTGATTCCATCAACCAAAGCACTAGCGGTTTGCCGGGCTTCCTGTGCTTGAACCTTTATAGGATTTAGGGTTTAGGGTTTGAAGGGTAGACGGGATTAGAGGGTTTTAGGGTTAGAAGGTTTTAGGATTAGAGGGTTTTCGGGTCATAGGGCTTTAGGGTTAGAGGGATTTAGGGTTATGGGGTTTTAGGGCCTTAGAAGTCGAACAATAGGGTCATAAAATTACAGGGTTATAGTGTTTTAGGGTTATAAGGTCTTAGAGTTACAGGGTTATAGGGTTTTAAGGTTTTAGGGTTTTGCCAGGGTTTTAGGGTTTTGGGGTTCAGGGTTTAGGGATTTCAAATCTGGTTTTATAATTGTTTTGGTGAGTGTATCTAGGGTTGCTGCGGACTACTAGCGTGTGTCTGTATTGGATGACCATGAAAAACATTCTACCTCATCTAATGTGTACGCTTTTCAAACTTACAGTTTTGCATTTTACTTTGTTTGAGGTTAGCCTTTCATAAAGCAAAGGCACTATAAACCATCAACCCTTAAACAGGATAGGACGGCGCAGCCTAGGAATCCGCGCGACTGCGCCGCTCTCCTTGCCACAAACTTTGCACTGGCACTGATAATGGCCACTGTTGGGTCCCTCCTCATCTTAGGCATGCAGGAAGAGTTGCAAGCTTTGCTCGTGACATGAGCGCGTAGGTGCTCAACACTTGCAGAGCGACAAAAAACTCCCGCACGACACAACGTGTACATTTGTTCATGAGCAGCTTTTCGAGTCGGGAAATCCCATTCTGTAGGGTTTGGGATTCCGGTTTTAAGCTCGAGGCTTGTGGGACCAGCTATGAAGAATTGTCGCAAGCTTGCAACAAGGCTTGCTGCAGTAAGGGTGGACAGCACCCTACATGACCTGGGTTTTGGATTGTGCTCATTTGGTGAGTGCTAACTAGTGGGACATGTCTGAGCAGAATGCAAGATAATCCTTTCCCCTCATTGTTTCAAACATCTCCCAAGCCCCTGATATTATATATGGTCCCCAAGATATTTAGGCTACCATGAGGAATACTTCATATCAAGGGGTGGCCTGTTTACTTTCAGTGTAAAACCCAAAGCTTAACACCCTGATTTTTCAAGTGCCTAGACCCGACAGTGTAGTTCTTTGTGTTGGGTACCCAAGTTCTATAATTAAGGATGCTAACCACAAAACGCGGTAAACAAAAAGAGGAACTACAGTGTATAGGGTTTACATAGACAGCTTGCTGTATCACCCGAATCTTTTACGTCCCTGACTGCAACTGCAATGTCGCCCAAGGCGACAAGCTTTTCCTGCCAATATGGGTGGTTCTCTGTATTGCGCGGTTTAGGGTTTTCGGGTTTAAGGCTTGGGGGCTTAGGGTTCCCTCAACGCTGAACCCTGAACCGAATTCTGAGAACTGCCCAGGTTGCGGCCAGTTCCATCTGCATGGACAACCAAAATCAGCATGTACGATCAGGGTGTAGGGTTTAGGGCTTGATGCAGCTGGAGGACGGCAGGCATTCTCGATTTCCCGCTGTCCATGCTGCTGCATCTGTAGGACGAACTGTCGTTCCTAGATTCGGGCTGTGCTCACAAATCGCTCTGAGTCTTCACCTGCGAAAATGCCTTCAAGCACACCAATCCCGCTTTTTGGCTCCGCATCTTTTTGTCTGGCGGTCGGCAAAACAGCCATCGGGTAGCAAAAATCGTTTTTGCGTGAAAATTGTGCTCGCGCGCAAGGGACTGCCAGCGCAATTCCCAAAGCCGACAATGCCACAACCCGAAGCCTGAAGTCTATGCTTCATACCTTAGCGCGATGTAAGCCTATACTCTAAGATCTAAACTCTAGACCCTGAACCCAATACCCCAGACTCTATAAACCCCCGGCCCAGGGTTTCCGAGGCAAGACGATGCTAAGCTCAGGGTGTATAGGATTTAGAGTTAATGCTTCAGGGTCTCATTTATTTGGATTCGGGGTTTAGGCCGTAGGCTGTGCGGTCCAAAGTTTGGTGTTCAGGCGGGCTTAGGGCTCAAGCGAATACAGAGGGAGCAAGTAAGCTCCGTACAAACTAGTGTTGTAGAAGGAGTACAGTGGCGTGATTGCACTATGGCTTATCATTAAGAACATAGAACTAAGAGTGGAATGTGCCATGACCCTAAAGACCCAACAACTCAGAAGCTGGGACGTCAAACCCAGACCCCAAACCTCAAGCCCTTCTGCTTTACCCCAGGGATCTAGCCCCCAAACCCTGACCCCCCCCGAGATCTACCCTGAAGAGCATTATAACATCAAAACCACAAGCGCAAACGCGATGCAACAGCACTGCGCAGGCTGCGGTCCGGCCGCTTACGAGCTGCTGCGCGCGCAGAGCCTCCGCGTAGAAATCGACGAACGCCTCCGAACGTGTTGGGGCCATGCAGTTCAGCGCATAGTACTTTCAAGTGGAATACTACATATCCTGTAGCCACAGGACTCATAGAGGAAGATCATATTGGATTTTTGTTGCTGCACGGCAAAAAACAGCGCATATCAGCAGCTTTTTGAATCCAATGCTTGTAAAGGAGTTTAGGCTTTTCCATTGAAGGGGATGAGAGTTTGGTGTATTTGGGCAACCAGGGTTTGGGGCCTAGGGTTCTGGAATTAGGGCATTGGTGGGTTGAAGGGCCCAAGGTTTGGGTTAATCGGGGATGATGGAACAAACATCGGCTTCCGGGCAGCAGATGGACCAAGATGCACTGGCTGGAATTCCTGGAGCCCTACCTCCCCCAGACTGACATGGAGGATGTCCATGTTAGTGTCGGGGAAGGTGGAATGCCCACCCTCTACCTGCAGAAAAACTTGAAGCTTACACTCTATAAGAAGTACATGTATAGCCAATGAAGCATGGCCTTCAGGCTTCTAAAAGGGGTTCATAAGAAGCCCAGACGACAAACAATCTGAGGCAACGGTTTGCAAATGAGTTTCCGAAGGCAGGTTTCGAAGCCAAACGCCCATAAAACTATGTTTGGAGGTTTGAAAACCAAGGTTTCGAGGCCTCCGTGTACTCCAAGAAAAACGATTTTAGTGTCAAGAGGGTTCGAAAGCCAGGGCTTCGAAACCAAGCCCAGATTCAAAAAATGACCGTAAAGAAACTGAAATAGGCCCGCAAAAACACCATAAAGAGACACGTAAAAAGCCGTAATTGGAAACACCCGGGGCTCAAGCCCTTGCTCCAGCCGCGAAACGACCATACTTTGCAAGGTCAAAACGCAAACAACCATAATAATCTGAAACTGCGCCCGTGAAATCAAGAAACGCCCGTAAAATCAAGCCAAAATCCACACGATGACCAATTTAAAAGGCACCAGAGCACTCTGCCAAAATGAGCTTGTGAATTGAGATTTGGCGTTTCTGTGTTCGGGTTTATGCTTCAGTGTTTGGGCATTAGAGCGCATGGCCCAGGGTTCAAGGCTTAGGGTTTTTTTCGTTTAGTGCACTAGGATGTCCTTATGCAAGCGCCTTGCCCTACCAGGTCCTATTTGTCTGGAAGACCACACCTCCCGAAGCCAGCATGGAAGCCCAAATGGACCACACAAAGCGACCGTCCCTTGGACAGGGTTTGACGATAATCAGACGTAAACCCCAAACCCTACACTTCAGACATCTCAAGCTTTCACCCTATGTTTGAAAACCGCCAAGCCCTCAACCTAAAGCTTGAATTCCAAACCCTAAAACCTACACCTTTATGCCCTGAACCCTAAACCCGCAGCCCCGAAGCCCCTAAACCCTGAGCCCTAAGCCCCTAGGATCCAAAAAGGTCCCTCCGAGGCGTGCGCGACCCATTTTTTCAAGGGGCTCCTGCCTTGAAACGGGTGGTTCCAAGGCAGCCCTTAACAGTAAGTCTAGTATTTGTAGTAAGAAAAGCAAAATGCTAGTACGTAGCCTTCAACGTTCAAAGCCGTTTCTTGCCTAAAGGATTCGGTCAAAAAAATAAGTTGTTAACATATTGTTCAATGTTCGAATGCAATAGAGATCCATAGTTCCTGAGATAGAGTAAGGCATCATCATTCTTATTCTTTCGGCTGTAGAGTTTTGAAGATGGTAGAGTAATACTACTTCAATGTTATGTGATGTCATTTGGTTAAAGGCACGGGCACACAGCTTGGAAGTTTGGCAGCTTGAATGCACACGAGCTTGGTTGTCGTGATGTTTTCGGGGCTTGAGACGGCATTCCCAATCGAATATCCGGTACTTTTCTCACCCCAACATCCTGAAGCTCGAGCTCATGCAACACGCTACGCACCAAGACTTGTAGGGCTTGCGTCTTCCAATTTTGGGTGCCGGGGCTTGACCTTGAACTCTGAATCTCAATATTGATCTTGAAAGAGTAGATGGAACTGCCCGTATTCAGCTTTGCGTTTGGCACCCTGCCTGACGTGCAGATGACTGGTCTCTGTGGCGGGACTCCCTTCGTTGGTAACAGTTGCTTCGAACCTTTCAGGCTTTTTGGAGAATTGGTTTCCCGATGATGGATAAACGCAAGCCGGCACTCAAGATGAAACCCTCTCATCCCAGGACACCAGGGATTAAGTTAAGACTCCGGGAGAGTCCAGGTTCAGGCTGGCCCTGGCACGTGAAGTCTCCATGTGGGATGCGGCGCAGGGCCTTGCCCTGCGCCATGAAATCCCTAAGTTTACTTCATTTGGGATCTTCACCGGGATTGTTAGAGAAAGGATCGCCAAGCTCCTGCACATCCAACTGCTACATCTTGAGCCCCACATGCTGAAGCAAAAGCGGTAACCTTCAAACCTGGAATCTAAGCCTTGACATAAAGGCTGTTGAGAGTTGAGAACTGGCAAGCCGACTGACCTGAACAACTGAAGTTTAAGTTTAAGGCTTAAGTTGTGCTATGTCGCAAGCCCAGAAGCCCAGCTATGTGTTTGCGTAGTAGATTGTTGAGTTGTAGGCCGTAGGCACCGTAGCAAAGATGTACGTAGGGGTCAAGGGGCAGAAGCCCCAGTATGTAAGCAATTGGGCTTCCCAGAATACGTAAATCCTAGACTTTGAGCCCTACACCGGCCTCAATCTAATCTCTAAACTCTGCATTACTCCCTAATACCTGAACCCTAGGCGGCCCAGACCCCTTGTGTCCCGACACTCTCAGAGCCCATGATAGCTCGAAATGGCGTGGCCGCCGGGCGAGCAAGTGCTGAAGATCCTGCAAGGGCCGACTGTTCATGTCTATGATTAGAATTTTAGAGTTCATGGGTCTGGAATTTGGAGTTTACAGTTCGAATTCAGGGTTTAGGCTTTGTGTTTAGGAGAGTTTGAGCTTTACTGTTTTCGGGATTTCCGCAGCCTCTTCAAGGGTTTCTAAGAGTCAGCCTCATATTTTTGTTATTGCGTCCTGTCTTGGTGTGGGCCAAATGTGCTGCATAGAGGGCTGTGTGGGGATTTTATGAACTCTCAGACCATAAGCCCAGAACCATGGGTGATCTAAGGATTCGGGCATACAGCTGTGCTCCCCCCTGTTTTCTTTGGTCACAGAATGCCCAGGAAGGAGAAGCTCAGTTTTCGAACAACCCGCTGCATGTTCTTTTTGTAACGTTCATGATTCGGTATTGGTTTTTGGTAATTATTGTGGATACCGCGAGGGGCTCTTTCTACAACACAGCTGTGCTTCTTGATAATTATATCC